TTTGCAGATGTCGTTTGTCAAAGATTTCCCAATGCACGGAAAGAAAAACAGTTTTACTGAAATATCGAAAAATTTAATTAGATACAGATCTAAAAATAATTTTATTGAACCATTAAAATGATTATATAGAAAACTCGAACAAATAATGAGCAATACTGCGAAAAATTTTGGCATTTTAACAACCAGCTTGAGCTTCCTACATAACTATTTTGATGGTCCAACAAAAATATTTTTAAATTTGTGACCATTAGAATTGTGTTGAAAGTAAACCATTATATTTTTCCTCCTCCGTTTAAATTGTTTTTCTGATTAAGTTGGGATATTTGAAATTTTTTATTTTGGAAACCTTTTTTTGGTGGCGTTTTTTAATGCGTTTATACTGACATTTATAAACTGGCTTGTACAACTTGAAATGAAATTGACGAGTCTCAAATACTCGACTCAAAAAAACGATCGTTGAAATGGAGGAGAAAAAATAACATTCCTTTTTCAACATAATCCTAATAATCACACTGTAGCTAAATTTTTAGATACTTTAACGAAACTATTTCATGTTGCTATTTAAGTAAATACTCAACTTCCAACTGAAGAGAAATTTTTAACGCAAAAATATGAATTTAATTTTTTTCGAGAAGATATAACAAGATATAACTATAATATAACCTGCATAATTTGCATTCGTGAAATCATAGTCAATTAAATATATGGACGAATTCTCTCTTTCTGAGAGAATTCCAATTTTACGCATTGCACCTACTTTGAAGCTTTCTGGGGTCAACGCTATAATAGATGTCTCATTTATCATTATAAGGTCGACTATAATGGATATCCATCCATTCTCTAATTTTATCGCCGAGAACTCACTGCGTCGTCCCATTTACCTGTCCGACTCGATTACTTTATATGACCTCAATCGTTATACAGTCCAGACGGTGGACCGCCCAGTCCAACGGTATCCTCGCACTCAGTTCAAAGCCCGGCACAGCCGACACCGGCACCAAGATGGCCCTTGAAACCGGGTGTACTAGTGCACATCAATCGAACTCACAGCCTGCGATCCGGCCTGAGCGTTCGTGCGAACGAGGCTAATCTGCAAAACGAGCTAGTGGGCAAACATAACGACGAATCGCTTAGACAGAGGTTCCTCGACGAAACATCGTTGTCGTCGATTGGCCGTAACCCAGCTCGGACGGTATTCCGCCGCGGTAGGAAAGATCAAACCGCGCAAAGGACAACCAGCATGACCAGTCTGAACGAGGATGGTATGCTTGCCCGAGCTAACAAGATAAAAGCTATGTTTGGCGTACAGCTCAAAGAGCAAGCCACCCTACCCGGTATATCCAGAGAAAAGACAGGTAAGAGCAGTAAGAAAGAAGTTGAGCTATTTACTCATGACTTTACCAGGTGTCATCCTACGTTAATCCGTTTGTATTTGCAGCTACTTGCTTACCTAAAAGCCGTCGACTGTGCACAAAACTCTACAAGTTGACACTTTAAAGCTTTTTAAATATGGACTATTTAAATGTAATTTCTAATTATAATGATTATATAATACGCTTATGGCAATGTGAGCTAAATATAAGGCTTCATATTAAGAGATGCAAATATTTGTGAATGCAAATGGGTTAAATGGCTCTTCCATATCAAAACTCAATCAAATATACCTCTGACCTATTCCGCGTTCACTATTAGTATTATCCATAATAAACTATTAATAATGATCGTTCCATTTTTTCATATACAAAATAATGATACTTTCAAGACCTAATGGCTGCATTATTAATTTTACAAGTATTTTATCGATACTTTTACCACTGGTATGCACTTTTGGAACTTAAAATGAGATAGATAATATATTTGATATTTGTTCAGCCACAGAAAACAGATCTTATAATTATAAACGAATGATAATCTAAATCCTTTGATATAAAAAAAATTATATAAATTCAGCAAATAGGGAATTAGCGTTGTAATACATGCGCAATCAATTTCAATATTATTGAATTGTATGTATCCTAATTTAATCATTGATTTGTAGTATACATGTTTCGGCTAACTTTTTAGCCATCTTCAGTACGTACAGATAATTCCATGTGGAAACGTAAGCGTTGAGATGTATAAAATTAAGCTACAGTACTCGCATGATTTTCCTTATTTTTAATATCCGCAATGTTTCTATGAGAGGTGGTCAATCTTCACTTCTTTGAGAAAACTATCAGTTGACTAGCTGGATGGACGTATTAGAATGTCGAAGTAAACTGCTGTCTTGTCTAATTTAAACTATAAAACATTAAGGTTTTTCCGAAAGTTGTTGCTGAGTGACTTCACTCTGCACGAGCAATAATTTATTGCAAAGCTTTTTTAATTACTAATTGACTGATTATTTATATCATTGACGTGTATCGGCAGGGGTTTAATGGAGACGCTTAATCATGGTTGCACCATCCAGCTAGTCAACTGGTTGCGTTTTCTCAAAGAAGTGAAGATTGACCACCTTTCATGGAAACATTGCGGATATTAAAAATAAGGAAAATCATGTGAGTACTGTAGCTTAATCTTATACATCTCAACGTTTCCACATGGAATTATCTGTACGTACTGAGGATGGCTAAAAAGTTAGCCAAAACATGTATATTACAAATCAATAATTAAATTAGGATACATACAATTCAATAATATTGAAATTGATTGCGCACGTATTACAACGCTAATTCCCTGTATTTGCCGAATTTATTATAATTTACTTATAATTATATGTATGAATGATTTTATCTAATTATGTCTCGCCAATACTTTAGAGTATTAATTTCACTGCGCATTAGTTGAACTTCATTCCGCGTTACTTTCTGTATATATACAATAATAAATGATCTCGTAAATGATTTATTAAGACTGTATATGTGAATACACAACAAGTAAGAATTTAAAGCCTATCTACAGGTTTTTTTCTCTTCAACTGTCGACATGGGTAATAGTAGACCTTATTGTTTTACCATTGTCTGTGACTTTTCCTTTACAACTTTTTACGCGCTTTTACGTTATAACGTTATGTTAATATTTCAGTTAATGAAAATATCTGTGTTACTGGAAAATACGTGCGTGTTTCTGCATATATCGCAGCAACTTTGAAGCTTCATTAAGCATACAGCTGCGTATGTAGCATGTAATTAACCCTTTAACTTCTCCACACTGATGCCGACAGGAACTTCGTGCTCAGCCTTAGTATACCTTGATGCTTATTCATAAGCTTTACTGTTACTACTTAAAAAATATTCTACAAATAAAAAATGAGAAAAATGTTATAAAATCAAATAAAAATAGTAGAAATTTTAATACATGATGCATGTTAAAATTGAATCTATTAGGTTAAAAAAATATTAAATTCGATTAAAGATATTAATCCGACAAAAACACATTAAATCTCACTTATACTTTTAACAATTTAATGCAAATGTATGCTCACGTACTTTCCAGCGCAAAAATGTCAATAATATATTCAGTGACATTTTCAAGCTTCTATGTATTTACTTTCTAAATATGAAAAATATTTTAGCATATATCCATATGGATACAAACATTAAAATAATTTATCATTTTTATGTGCTTTAAAAATAGTTATTTATATGACTTTCTCGTGTCTCTTTGCATTTTGTTGATAATGTAATCATAAAATTTTAATTTAACTATTTATTTAATACAAAATTGTTCTAAAATGGGAAATCATAAATTAAGTCATAAAAACAAATGTCTCTACATTTCCTAGATGTGTATATATAATTTACAATTTTTATATATGTACCAAATGTTGTATCTTAAATCACAAGAGAAATGTAGAATCAAATTAATTTCAAGAGCATCAGTATAATTTAAATCTTATTTTAGCCTTTTTATCAGTGATTGCTTCTTGACTATTTTAAAATTTGATATGAACATTCATTCCATTCTTAATGTATTCATTAATATTCGTGATCATTTACGTTTGCTTAAGTTGTCGCATGAGAGGCTTTATGTGTTTATGATATCGCTTGTTGTTAATTATGTGTTCCTTAGCTGTGACTTACAAGAGAATTGTGCCGCGGCAGCGAATGTTGCACGGCGTGGAATCATCCTATGAGCCAAATCGTGGTAATATATCTCGTAAGAGAAAAAAGCCTGGAGCGGGTACGTATAAAGAGAATTTTTATTCAACGTGCATGCTTGCAACTTTATTTGCTCGTATGCTTTGACTTAAAACCCTTCCCAACCTTCCCCTTTTTCGCAGATTTCTTTTCTAAAAAATATGTGTTACTTTATGGCTGTACACGCGAATACATATTCATCATCGGGCAAAAAAGGATATACAGAAAACAGAGATAACTCTCATACAAAACATACGTGCGAATGCCACAGTCGTTAGTGTACGCAATAGAGAAATATTTAGCTATAAGTGGTAACACACATGCCGCACGCAAGAATTCATAGTTCCGCATAAAATATACACAGCAATCAACCACATAAATTTCATTTATCACACAACAACTATTAATCACAGATCTTATCGATTTTTTGATATATACCGTAGCTATAATTCCGCGCGTTCCGTCTGCGGTATGTTCATCGCGATATTATTCTCGATCTTTTCCATATTATTATACGTATATATATATATATATATAAAAAATCCTAAGAATGAATCGCATATTTCAAAAATTCGGAATTCTGAGACTACAGAAATTACAAATGATATATTGCTTAGACTTTGTTAATTTCATATTTATATTTTGAAATTCAAATCGAAACTACAATCTTGTTTACAATGGGGCTTTATCTCGTTACAGTGTTCTATCTTTTACAGTGTTCTATCTTTTTTTACTAATAAAACTTCATTATTTTATTGGATTAAGTCGAAACGTGTTGGTGAAACACAGTTCCTATGGATCGTCGGGTTTACCATTGTCGTCAACATTTTAATTCACGATAATTTATACAATGTTATTAACATTCTCTTTTTGCAATTGCAGATCCCAATCAAGCCGCGAATAACAATCATGTGAACAGCGTGTCGGAAGTTCTTCCCGACTCCGGGACAAAGACGTTCTACGAAAATTTACCTTTCCACGGGATCCAAGCGCCACCTAACAAGGTTAGTATAATGATCATTCGATAAAAAAAACAAAAAATTGTTTCATATCGCATGAGCTAAACTCGATTTGCAACTCGCATATTATCGTGATTGTCGAAAAAATAATGACGGCAAATGTGTCAGTCGCAAAAAAATCAATGAATATAGATATTGAAACTAAAGGAAGAGAGAGAGAGAGAGAGAGAGAGAGAGAGAGAGAGAGAGAGAATAATAATAATAATTCTTTAAATTAAAACGTAAAAAAATATTTCAAATTAAGAATACCACTCAAGTAGCGCAGCGGCGCTTACAAAGTGCTAAAAAAGCGATTATATGCGCTTTTTTAGCTTTGATAACGCTTAGTAAGCGCTGTGTGCTACTTGTGTGGACATCTTCAATATTCAGTGATACTATTGTTCTTTGATTTTCGGCTTGAAGGAACAATACAATTCAAGAGAATCATATTGAACAAGATCGACCTAAAAGGACCGATATTCTCTCGATGCATTTCCACCAGTTAGTCAATCAAGTTTCGCGAACAGTTCGTCGATTAACGGTATCCCTTTCTGATCAAATACGTTCAAGAGGCGATAGCAAGTAAAATGCGATGGAAGGCATCCAAGGGGGTAGATATTAGTACAACCTTTCGACCGTACAACCCCTTCGAAGACCCTCAGCACTTAGTGCCTCGTTACTCCGTATACGGTTCCTTCGTATTGTTAGTGCTTCACTTTGTAAGAGCTACCGAACTCAGCTACCGAATACCCTTTCAACCCTTATAATGAATATAATATAATATAATATTAGTTCTCAGTGACTTTCCGACTCGTCATTTCGCAATTAAGAAACCATAACTGGTTTCTCGAGCTGATAATATTCACCTGTCTTATCGAATTACCGCGCGAATGCATTCATCATCCCTTTCTCGCCCCTTTCCGCTCATTTTAAGAGCACACCCACCCATTTCGTTGCTTCCTATTATCGCGGTTAATTGATTCACCGAGCAGACGTTTAAATAATTAATTTCACCATTTCAAAACCGACTTCCTTTTCTGTTTGCATTTGGATAATTAGAATTGAAATTAAGTCTCTTACGTATTAGAAGAGTCACGAAATCTTTCGAGATAATAGACTTTGCGACAAGTCATCTGCAAATTATGCACATGGAGCGATTACAATGAGATATCTAATAGCTAAAACATAGACGCGAATTTCTAGCCGTCTTAAATATATACATATATTTAAAAAATATTATGTAAAATACGAGAGAAAGCGTTTTATTTTGCTGTACTGAAATACTCACATAATCTATTATTATCTAACGTAAGCCTCTTACAAACGTATTCGATTACATCGTATAAATTTTTGTGATGCAAATTTTAACCGTCTCGAGCAACCTCAACGCGTCGCATTCCAATTGAACACGTAAATCTATCGTTCTCTTGAATCATCGAATATTCTATAAAGAATATATATACATATATATATATATATGTATGCATATATGTATATAATATCTCTCGTGTAACGTCAATCTGACTGAACGAACGTTATCAATTTTTTGTACACGGATTTACTGTGATAATAATAATGCGAAATCGATATCTTATTCTAACAAAGAAAACAATTCTGTACAATATATGTATAATTATATTTCATGTGTTTATATTTTATTTAAAAAATTTTCAATTTCTGTAGACATGCTTATGTACGTAAAATTATATCATAATATTCAGATTGAAATAAATTGATGAGAAGAAATAATGACGACGACTGACAATTTACCGTTATTATTTCGCAATGATAAATATACAATCGTTACTTGTCAATCTAGTTGCAAATTTGAGGTTCGAAATCGCACCGCTTTAGCAATAATCGTACAAAACCGATGTTGCTGAAATGCATGTCGAGTGAAATGTTAATTCATTCGGTACATCATCAAAGCGTTTTATTCATGTGAAACTTTATAATGATACTCTGCACGCAACAAAATAACTACAAGTCAAAACCAAAATATTTTTATTAAAATGAACATACATGCTTTTATGAAATGTATTACGTTAATGCAATAATCAGTTTATATTTTTTTCTTCTAACTTTTACATAATTTTTATTAATTACTCAAATATTTTGCACTTCGCACTGGCTGCCTTTATTTACTGCTTGTTACGTAATTTTGTGCAATATCCGTAAATTGTGCAATAACATTCTGTCAATTGTCTTACAGATAATTGCAAAACGATAATTTAACAGTTTGATAAAATTGCGGGGATAATTTGCCAATGAGAAGTAAACGAAATTATATTAATTCTTAGCAAGTAAGTGGCTATGTTATTAATTCTTTGCGTTGCCTCGATACATTTTTTGCGAATTCCCGGATACTTTTATTAGCTATAGGAAGTCTCATAGCCCAATCAATATAGCGGAAAAAAGCACCGTGGTGAACAGGTAATTCAGTGCTGTGCGAGTGTAACGAGTATTGCTATCTTTGGCAAAAATAAATTCACTGTATGCTTTTTTATCTTATTCGTGCACTAACGTCTAGAAGAACCAATTGTTGCAATGAGTTTCCAATAATTTGTGTTTTACTATAGAACTACACGAATAATGACCGCGTGATTTTATTTTCATATGTACAGTTCTGTGCCGATTAACGTTCATTATCAGCATTTAATGAAAAAATAATATTAGCGCAACTTGAATTCTTTATTCGAGAATATAATGAGTTTTACCGTGTTTTGCTGAATATTCGATGATTGCTATACAAAAAGTCGCAGTAGATTTGTTTCAATCTATCTTATTAAATTTGATAAAATTAATTCAGCACCGCGGTTATTTTTCATAGATTGGCGGAAAAATACCGGACTTAATTATCTAAACCTATTAAAAATTTAGTCATTTTTTTAATTAGAGTAGTATAATACGATAAAAATAGTAACTATAATTTATGTTTCCCAATCAATCCAGATAGCACATGACCACCGGATATCGTATACTGTCTGAAAATTATATTTCCAGATTTACTCATGAAATGAATTATAAATAAAATGTCACAAGTCCTGTAATTTCTGCTCTAGATTCTATATATTTACTACTGATATAGTTACGTACAATTTTTATAGTTATATATAATTTTTAGCTTTCATAATCACTCGCTCTGCATCTCAAATTAAACTGTGAATTTTGACTTCTAATGGACTTGATAATTTCCAGTTGTGCTGAACTAACTCTATTTAACCAAAAATATCTACGTACTGTTTGATATAACAAACGTTCATAAATACAAAGCTCATTTTGGTAAGTTCACCAAGCGAAATTAGCCGAATCAGTTTATCCAATTCGCTAGGATTCACAATCGGCGCGCAATCCGAATCAATCAACGTATAATTCAATGAGAGGCAATAAGCACTGCTGCTGGCATAGGCCACTCGATAATCAGGCCGATAGTGGATGACTGTCCTAACGTATCGGCAATTACGCGCTATTTTCCAAAGATTGCCATATTATATTTCTGTTAACTGTTAATTACTTCGAATGTAATATTATTGAAAAATTTCAATCACTTTTTAATTTTTATCAACAAGATAGAAATTATTAAGTAAAATTATTATAAATTATAAAATTATACAAAAATAGATAATTATACACTTCCTCTGTTCAGTCATAACTTAATTTGTATGAACATAATCCAAAAATTTTCTTTTGGATAACAAAAATTGGAGAGTTATATTAAAAGTAATCGATATATCAATCTTATTCTAAATATTCCAATATATTTACGACACAATGTCATTTGTCAATCTGTATCATTACGGTACAATACGTTGCACGAATGCCTGGAGTTCGATTTTAGAAGTCTATGCTTCGTTCTTTTTACGTTCATGAATGATACGACCGGATGTTGTATCAGCGATCATAAATATATATCATAGTGTTAGTAAATTGTATTTTGATAGCCGACCGACGTACGTAACTCAGTTTTGATCAGTGAAATTTCTGAATTATTCCAAAACTTAATTGAAAGGAGTCGGAGATCGAAGCCTTTAATATATCAGATAAGTTGTAGTTTTGAAGAAGTATAATTGCTTTTACACTTGCCAATAAAAAAATATACTTTGTGGTCCGTTTTTCTTACACAGGTAATAAAATATAAGTGAAAAGATAGTTAACAACGTAATGTTTGTGACAAGAAGTTTATTGAATATTTCAGAAATTTCACTGATCAAAACTGAGGTTACGTCGGTCGGCTGTCAAAACACAATTTATTAACACTATACGATATATTCATGATCGCTGATGCAACATCCGGTCGTATCAGTCGTGAATGTAAAAATAACTAAGAACGAAACATAAACTTTTAAAATCGAACCCTAGGCATTCGTGCAACGCACTGTACATAATGTTGTTATAATCGCGAATCTACTTGAAATGTCGCTATCAAATATATAACTTCCTCTTAATCATCACAGAGAAGCGATGTAACTGTATCAGTAGTGCTCATCCAAAATGCCAATAGCAACACAGAAATGGACGTAGATTGCCTCCTTATGTCCTACGGCGACGAAACATTTCAGCCAATCTGCTATACGAAGTCAACTTCGCCATCGCTAATTAAATTATCGTGATCGCCGAAATGTCATTACCCCCGGGGATAAGGGACTGTCGATGGCGACGATGTGCGATAATCGAACGTTAATCAACACCATAAACAAACCAAATCAAGGCCGAGGGACTGTGTTATACATACAAATGGCCGCTGGCTGCGTTTTGTTTTAGTTGGTTACTCCTAAGTTTGCCCGAGTTTCGGCTTTGCATGGCACGTTGCATTCCATCACGACCTCGCCGTGTTCCTCGCGGCCACCCAGCAGAGCTGTCAGTCTGTGCGATGGCAGTTCCGGTTATGAGTCGACCATGAGCCACCTAGGCCCCCACTACAACATTTACAATGTGCCCAGGAGCAATTCGCCAGTGCTTAAATACAACACATTGAAACCACGGCGGCGCAAACAGAAGCACTCGCAACAATTCTATTCACTGCGGCTGTGTCGTCGGCACGAAAACATCCGCAGGAAATACGAGCTATATGCGATACCGATCTATAAGACGTGCCCGCACAGGAGCGACAGCACGACCACAATCGCGACGATCGTCCGGTCGATGGAGGATACGCCGTCCTTGACCCACAGCCAGTCGTCGGCATCGATCAGCCTGATGAGCCGATCGGCGCCGTCGACGCCGATACCGCCATCATCGACGACGCCGCCGGTACCAGCACCGAGGATGTCTAAAAAAACTGATCCATCCAAACACACCTACCAAAATGTCCCTCCCCCCGTTTTTCCGCCGAAAAACGCTTCGTTGCCTAAGCTTAAGGTTTGTCAACTACTGATCATCTATAATAGGAATACCCCGCATCCGATGACGCTCGTGGACGTTGCCATAAACGAATTTTTCGACAACTGTCTCTCGATTGATCCTATCGCTATTGGCTCGTATTGTCGAGTAATTCTTCTCTGACCTATTAATACTCGTAATTTTTGTCATGTCAATCAGGTTCGCGAAACTTCGCATCGATTTATAATTTTAAATACACTGTTAAATATATGTTTTTTGTTCATTCTACGTGCTAGAACTACGGCCAGAAATATTTAAATAAAATTAAATAAAGAATGTAGATATATATATATACTTATATAGGAAAGATATGTTGAATTCAATATTTCTAAAAGCTTTGATAGAAGTTTTGGCATATATAGGCCAATGCTTTCTCAATGCTGCATTTCAAGTATTGCAGTTGCAATACAATATTCTTTATAGTCAAATAACGATGTTACTTCAGAATACGTGACATGACTATATAAAATGATTAAAAGATATATTTAGATATATATATATATATATACACATATAACAAAAAATTTATAAGTTTATTTTTACTTAAAATACGAACTATAATGCAACGGAAAATGCATTAAGTTACTTTAACTCATATTTGTCTTAATCACACAATTTGATTGACACAACGGAGTAATTTTATTAGTTAGGCTTCTAAGTCAATTTCTCCTTTCAATTTTCATATGACAATATAAAATTTATTGTTTCCTCCTATATAATTTAAACCATTGTTAGTTTATCAGATATTAATAACTAATTAAAGAAATTTTGAGATGAAACCCAAAACGGCTTGTTAAAATTAATAATGCTACTTATTAATTATAAATATAGAATATTCAAAATTCGATAAAGAATCACGTCCAATTAAGCAATATTAAAACCGCAAAGAGATATATATCAATTTTTAATTAATCTTCAAATAATATTATTTCATTTATAACTTGCTCTCCGCGCGGTAAAATTTGGAAACAAAATCCTTTTACCTATTTTAATGTACTTATAATATTTTTCATAATTTTAGCAACGAGTTAATTACATAATTTGAGCAAAAATTTTATGATTCATTATTTAGAATATAAGGATTTTACGTAATTCATCGAAAGCCTATAGATTTTGCAAATATATAACCATCAGTACCAATTTTATTTTACCGTAATGTAGTCTATGATAGAAAAAATTCCTCTATATATATTATACAGACATCTTATCATCGTATCTTTATTACAACACTTTAATTGTAATCTAATTTCCTTGAGGCTATGAACTCGTAGTAACTTTACGAGCACTATCGTAGCACTTTACAGATTTTCGCATCGTGAACGTGATTGTAACTTTCTTAATCAAACTATTTGTAATTAATCGCGAAAGTTGCCATGTACGATCGAAATGGCAGCGTCCAACGAGCGAGGCATCAATCCATCCCCTTTTAAGCACCGAGTAACATTAGCATCTCGCGCCTACTGCATGTACGATTTACGTGTCCGTAATAGATATAAAACAGCAGCTTCTCGAGCAAGTAGGAGGTAGAGTTGCTGGAAGCCGAGTTATAATCGGAAATCATATTTTCCCTGCTAAGCTGGATCCGGGCATCTATGTAGCGACCGCCCTTGTGCATGTTGGCCGCGCGTCAAGTAAGTTCCCAATGTCACACACGCTTCAACCAATGACACGAGCTCTTTATTGTTTCGATAACTGATAAACTTGAGATATTACTTCGAGGCTTTTCACGACGTGTCCGTTCCCCCGTTTTCACCTACAAAATAAAAAAGATCTGCGAGTCTGCAACAGAAATGTCTTCCTTCACTTATCGATCGACAGCATAAACCTTGCACAATTCCTTTGTCACCATGTTGGACATACGTATACAAACCGTCATGAGAATTTTTCGGAAACCGAGCGTGCCAAAAGTATTCAAACTCTATCATGCGAACAATAATTTATAAATCCTTTTTAGAATACGTCTTAAAATATGAGAGAGAAAAATTCTATATGTTCTATAATACTATTCCCGACACGTACCGATACGTTTGCAAATTCAATTTCCTACGTAAAATTATCACTGTGTCGGATATAGATACCTCGATAAACATCGTCACGAGGATTTTTCGAAATCGAACGTGCAAAGAATATTCAAAATTCACGGAAACAGTTATTTATAAATCCTTCGTGGGATGTTTCTTAAAATGTGAACACCAAAAATTCTATTCTATTTTCCTTAAGACATACACATCGAATTTTCTATAGGAAAACGTGTATTGATAAATCTATTTGACTTTAGATATATGTAACTACACGGCAAATCTATATGTCCCATGTCTCAATCTATACAGCACAGATCATAGCAATATTGCAACAACATTACAAATATTGCAGCAATATTGCTGCAAGTTTCTGTGCTGTATGGGAAGATGCGGTGTGATGTACTGACTCTTGTCCCTCTCTTTCCTAATATCAAAAAATCGAGAAGTAATGTCTCAATTGTCCGATTTTCTTCTGCACATTACGGCGCGTTAACCATTCGCGTCCCCGAATTGCCTGGTTCCAACTACTAACCATGCCTGTTACAGACCGACAGCCTATACAACTACAAAGAACACTACCAGCAGCAGCATCGGCAGGAGATGCAGCAGTACAGCTACCCCTTACCGAGCAACAGTTCGAACCAACTAACACTGCCACTAACGAGCAGCCTCTACCATTCCTCGATAGTTAGTCCCCTGCAGACCTCCCTCGTTTATACTAACAACAGCCGTCCACCCACCCTGATGCATCATGAGGCTGCAACCACTGGCAATCACTCGCCTACGGTGCATCGGGACGAGGAACAGCAGCAGCCGAATTACGGCAATTCCGACGCGAGACAATCATCGACGCGTCGACACGCAACGAATCGGCGAAACGAGCGTAATCGGAAGTACCGGAAGCACGAGCGAATGTCGAGCGATCGAAATAAATCGAAGCAGAGCCGACAAAGGGACAGAGACGCTCCTTCACGGCGTAACAATACTTCCTTTGTCGATACACCCAACTATGAGACCAGCTTCCGTCAAATTCCGGATCTGGGCGTGCCTGATACGACGTACAAGATCTCGTATCCGCATTACTACGAGGATGACATCGCGGAGTGCTCCACCGACTATCACAGACCAAACCCGACGAAGGCGCGTCAGCAACAGCAGCAACAGCCGCCGTGGGAGCATCAATTGAATCGCTCTACCGGCAATAACACGCCTCAATTCGCAGCGGACGCGGGCGACGCGAAAAATCGCAATAAAACGTCGAAGACGAGACTCAACGATTCCCGCAGCATACCGTCCGCGCCCACGATAATGCAGTACGCCGAGTTTCACTTCCGGGATGTCGGTCAGGAGATCGATGTCTAAAGGTTAGTAATCCCAAATCCTGCTGGTGCACAACGGCACGTCGAATGTGCTTTCGAAGAACGCGGGTGATTTTTTCCGAGGAATGTCGCCGCAATTTGTTTAAGACCCCGAGGCTCAATACGCTACTACGTCTTAAAGGTAACGCACCCGTGCGTGCCAAACGCAGATTTCTTTAAGATATTCCTGAATATGTCGTATTCAAAGGTAGGGAAACTATACATTTCCTTTTCATTTTCTCTTCTACTTACTTTGCCATATATCTTCTTCTATTATTCTAACATCTTTTTTATTTTGATCTTCAGCTATCTCATTGCTTTTGCATCAATTTATTTGCATTTGTTTGCATATGTTTGATCTTCAAGTATGGTTTTAAATATCTTGCATCTAATTAATATTTAATTTAACGCACGGCATATCAACTCGAATCTGTCCTTTAATAAATTCGTAGGAAGATAATTTGATAACTCGTGGAAAGAATTACATATTCCACACGTCGTAACTTTATATATTATTATAATATAATCTTTTTAAATTAATTACTTCATTATCTCTTATAATATCATCGGGTATCCTTTTTTAAATACATATTTTTCTAAAAATATATATACATTTTTACATTTTTTACACACAGCGTGGTTCGAGATGTTGCGAAATAAAATCGTCTTTTTTATTCTCATATATTTTCATTCTCAAGTTAAATACTATTCTCATGTTTTTTTATATAAATTATGCGTTTTTAATTAATATAATACTATAAATCTTTATGCATAAAATAACTGAGCGATATAAAGCATTATTGCAAGCAGACAAATCAATTACTCAATCAATCGATGACACATACAAATTTTACGTGTTTTCAATATTTAATTCAATTTAAAAAATACCGAATTTAAAAAAATATTCAGCGTATCTCTACGAATTCTAACGAATAAAAAAAATTTATTTAAAAGATATAAAAAATTAAAGAAAAAATTAAAATTGTACCAGTTTGAGCATCCCTATCGTATAGAACTTTATAAAGGACGGGTAACATGTACATGAATATAGATACGTGTGCGATCATATATATTGTATTAATTTGGCTCATAGGGAAAAAATTATTTCATTTGATAAGCATAACCCAACGTAAAGTATATAACAAGATATTCGAAAAGACTTGAGCAATAATATCAAATTGATATTTTCTGTCAAGTTTAAACTATCAAATTTCAAGCCATTTTAGATATGGATACAATATCGTTTATTACTACGATATAATTAAAAAATTGATATTTTTTAATTTCTTGTGAAGAAAAAGAGGCACATAAAGAAAAAGATAAAATATATTTTATATGACATAGTTTGCTGCAGTTTCCAGTTTTATTTCATTGTGTGTATTGGGTTTTACCCCCAAATTTCTGTAGGTATATAATATCGAATCGTCGTAATTTTTTTTAATAAAAAGTCGCGCAGAACAATACAGTATTTACACTCACGAAGAACAGTGCAATATTTACACATTATCTGAAGTCTAAAGAAGTTGATAGAACATGAAAATGGAACAATACTAACAATAAGAGGATTTAAATCGAACATTTCATCTCGGTAGTTTTATTCTGTAGTACAAATTATTTATTTATTTCCATTTATTCTTTTTCAATTCCCTCGTTCAAGCTGCCAATAATTCTACTGTACTGTTTCCGATTTCGCATTGAAAACAAATTAAATCAAAACAGCTTCGATTGCTGTACACTTTGCATATCTCTGTATTTCTCTCGTGAACGTGCCTTGCCCGTAAGGCAGCTGACATAAAAACGCAATGCGAGGTTTCAAGGAACCATCGTTGCATGCGTACCATACCAATTGTATATCTCAATGTTTGTTCGTAGGAGGGTCAGCTGACAAAGAGCGATACGTACATTTACTAGGACAAATTGGCATCCGACAAGCCCTGTAGGTACATTGTACGGAGTATGTCACGCTGCTTACATACATAACGTAATTCGAGATCTACTACAAATACGAAATGTTCACTCGCGCAAGGGATGCCGAACTCGAGCTCGTAAAGTTAAACCAATCTCAATATCTTCAAATTAACATAGTGTTTACGTGCTATTCTCTTGCAAATTGTTTTCCTGCTTTTATATAAAGCCTCTGTATTTTATAAAAGTTACTTCAATCCTGTTAGAAAAGTACTAGCACATATTTTATTGCCTATAAATAGATTTGCTTGATAGAAAAAGATATTATTCATCTGCTAAATAATTTTGAAGTATCGAAATTACGATTCATTACATCGCATGATATTGCTTTATGTTCATCACATAAAAATGATCGTTTTTCATATCCATATATCCCCAAATATATCTTCAGACGTAAATCTTAGCCTATTGTAGATCAAGGTTTACTATAATCGTCGCTCTTGCTACGTACAACAATAAGAGCTTCGAGCCAATTAGGTAGAGCCGAATATAATAGTTCAAACAACAATCCTCTTTCAATTCCGAACCACGCAGTTTAATACGTATAAAGCGACTAAGCATGCAGCATGATAACACTCTTATCACAATTATACTTAATCTTAACTATTAAACTGGGAATAAGAGGATTATTTAACAAACGGTTTAGCAACGAACCCGCGAGCGTTCGCATATAATTCTCTCTCAGCCCTTCAATAAGATCACTGTCTAATTCATGTACGTGCCTTAAGCGTCACTGTCTAATTGGCGGACATCGATCACAAACGGAAAAGCTTAATACTCGAAATGGTACCAGTCATTTGTCGATCGCTTGCACAGCAGGTCTGTTACGAAACTTCACGAACAGTCCGCAATAAAACTTGTGTGCGCAATCGTCCGCGCAACACGATTAGAACCAGACAATACCAAAGTTTAAGAGACATTTTAACTCTTTTTACTTTTCAAGATTTTGTATATAAAATCTTTTTGTAAAAAATTATGTAAAAAATGAAAATCTATTTTAAACAAAATTATTTGTAAAATTGTAATTGTTTAAAATTATTTGTATAAAAAATATAAATAAGATATTTAATTAATATTGAATTAAACACAATAACTAAAAAATTAACAACATAAATAAGTTGATATAACAAAATTTATTTCGAATAAAATTAAATTAATTCCGTACTTGAGAAATTTCATTGCAAAAAACTGAAGGATTAGAGATAATAAATTCTTAAAAGCCACCAGGAAGCAGAAGTCTTTTAGACATTCGTATTGTTTGGAACATAGATCATTTTCGTTCTATGATATTTGTTACACTTTTCTGTTGATGTAGCCCTTCAAGCCGGAATTCTCGGATCTCGATTACGCGGACGTGGACTACAAGTCGTACGGGCCGATTAACTATAAAGCTGCCAGTATCGCGCTCCTTCAAAAGCAACAGCAGCAGCAGCAGCAACAACAAAAACAACAACAAAAACAACAGCTGCAACAGCAACGACTTTTGGATAGGAGACCGCAGATGTACGGTACTTCGGACGATAACGAGGAACTGCTTTAACCCTTTCCCGTTCACTTTTTATTTAATAGCGATTCTACTTCAGCTTTCTCGGGGAGATGCAATGATAAGATACATTTAATGAGTGAGATATATCTCGATAGACAGCTCGTTAAAACTCGCTAAATTCGATTTCTATGAGACACACGTTACCATAATAAATTTGTAGGATTATGATTCTCGTGTGGAACGAATTTAACGAGTTACGACTCTGTGCTGCATAATGCGTTTGTTCGTACAGACGTAATTGGCACAAAAAAATTTTTTCGGTGAAAATTAATTATCCGCTGAAAACTTCTATCTGAAAATTCAAAAGGTTTAAATAAAGCGCTTGTCTTGATATTATCGAAATACCAAGATCGATGATGTTATCAGAAAAAAATTGCATGAAAAAAGTGCTAAGATCTTATTTACGTTTACTGTAACTCAAAATTCGATTTTCATCAAATTTGCAAAATTTTTGGTTCCATTACGAGTCTTTGCATAATTAAAATGAAGGTAATAGGATTTGTTCGACATGCAAAAAGCTATAAATCTTTTATTACAGATAGTCGAGATGCACAATCGCGTATCTGCGAGTACGTTAATGCAATATTTAAATGCACTTCAAGAGAACGTCCAGGTACTATCTGTACAGATATTGTACCTGTACAGGTATTGTGTGTACAGATAAATGTATACTATATATTCTCTTTATATACGATAATTTATGTTATTACGCTGCTTCTAATATTTCATATCATTTCATGCCGTATATTTCAAATTAGACTTTCTCAGATGGGATTAGAACTTTGGTTACACATTTGAACGTTTGGGGGAAAGGTCGATAAATCACTCGTTCTCATTCACTCGCACCGGACACACGACGATGTACGAACGTCATAGAACATGTGACAAAATTTTAAAACATTTTTCGATATCTGTAAATTTATAAATATATTTTTACGAGATTATTGATACAATGTACATTTATACAAGCTATCGGTATGTGTTCTGGGATCAAATTATGGAAATAACGCACGAACCGTTAATAGAAAAAGGAAATCTTATTAAATATTAAATTAATAAGAAAAAAGAAAAACATATCGGAGCCAAATATAATCCCCATCTATCTGTTCCATATTATTGTTATATAATTATTCATAAGCGGCGTTAGAATATATATTCTGTTACACATATTATTCTCGAATATCTTCCTACATGCGCGTTTGTAAATTTGTAATTACAAGAATGACGAGTAGTTGTTTGTACAGATCGACAGTAAACCACATGTCCCCACTTAATCGCGGACGCAGTCAAGTGATTATGTATTCGAGAATCTTGTAAATAATGTATCCTTATATCCTTACATTATTAATTAATATTATCGACTTTCATTAGCCACAGAATAATTCGTTACGATAATACGTTTCACCGAGTATTGGTTACATAAACCAACTCTGCGATTGTTTGAAAAATTGTGTTCAACTACCTTATGCGAAAAAATATGTATATCCAGACGCATGTTCGATGACGCTGTCTAACTCGATCGCGCCTACGATTAATGACAATTTATACTGTTCTATAACGTCAATATTAGACTAAATAAAATGAGACCTCCCCGCTTTCATGGTGATACGTCTTATCGTGTCTTTTTATTCGGCAACGTTCCTCCACAGTCCATTGCAAATCGCTTTTCTTTCACCGCACGCGTATTCCAACCAATTCAATCGCGTCCAGACCATTCGCTCTATTCATCGATATATATGCCAGGTGCCATAGATTCCCCTGGGAATCTTATTATTTTCTTTCATTTACAAATACTTTGATCAATTTAAAGTCAATTTTACCACGAAAATTCAATTGAACGGCAGTCTTTTTTTTATATCTTTTTAATATTGAATATTAAATCTTTGTAAAGATTCAAATTAAACTTCCATTGAAGTACAACTTGGTTGGAATTAAACTATTTTGATAAATTTTGTTAAGATCTATATTCCCCAAGATTTATAACCATCTGCATTAGAGAATTGTGGAAAGGTTAGTTTCACTCGTAGAATTTTTGTTGTGAAAAAATCGATTTTATATTTATCAAAGAATCTATAAACCGAAACTTGAATGATAAATTTTTATGCACGAGTATCATATGTTTTTACAGGGTGTATCGTTTTACAACTGAGTAGCTTCGATTTTTTCGAACAAGATATATATACAATATAAAACATACGAAAATGTGTTCATAACGAGTCAGATTTCACTCTGGAAAAGAGAGACAAGGAGAAAGTTGACCTTTTACAATTTTATTGTTCTTAAAAATGTTGCACTAAAAATGTAAAATTCATTCCTGAAGTGTGAAATAATTTTGCAGCAATGTGACGAGAACGGACGAAATGTGTCATCATCAGAGACTTTGACTTTTCGAAGTTAATAAAAATGAAATAAAAAAATTAAATGACGAGATATGAGAACCTTTTATGTCGATATCCAATTATCATGTAATGCGTTCATTCAAACACAGATATATTTACAAAGCTTTATTATTGTTATCATGAATATATTGGAAAGTAACATGCCACTCAAACGTATAGTTTATAAAAAATGAAATCTAATTTAATTTGGCCCGATATTAATAGAATACTGCCATCGGTCTGCCAATCTTGTAAAAGGTTTTGCTCTCATAATTACGGTATCGATTTAACCTTCATTAAAGTATATTGCACAGCTCAATTTGGTGACTAAGGCAACTATTTAAATTACCTAATATTTTAAATAATTAGTACTGTGGCCTGAATTATTAATTTTATTAATCAATATTTCCTATGCTTCTCTAAAATCACAAGACCCGAGAGGCCATTCATAATAAAACACATAAAAATAGTTATTTTCTCTCTATACGTATATATGTATGTATATGTACGTATATACAGTGAGTGTAAAAAGTATTCATACAAGGAAATTTTTTATAAAAAAGTCTTATTTGTAGAAAATAAACATTAATTAGTAATTTTATACAATGAATATACATTCCGTTTTAACGTAAACAAACGAGCTTCGCATGTTATTCCTGATTTTAGAAGCTAAATTTCTCGACAGTACGAACACTTTTTGAGCATCCAAACAATACAATTTTTAATTTTCGCTTATTTTTTTATATGATATATATTTTCTATAATTAATACACATCTTTTTGATATAAATAATTTTAAGAAACATACAGTTTATTTTATTTTTTATAAATAAATTGTTAATTACTTAGCAAGAAATGATCAACAATTAAACGTCGAATCGACGTTAAATTGGTGTTGAAATCATCGTATCGACATCGATTCGATGATTCATTTCTCGCTGGATAAAATTTACTTGTTAAAAATAAAGCTTTTTAAAAAAATATTTTCTCTGCACGAATATTTTTTGCACTCACTGTATGTATAGAGTGTGAAAAAAATGATCATAAAAAGTGTTGGAATTAATTTAAGCATCGTGAAACGTCCGACCGACGACAACATATATACCTGTTCGAAACTAGCCATCATACATAAATTTGATATGTATGAACGTATCTGTGTAATAACTTACGCTAGGAGTGTAAAGTGATTTTTCACCAATTTTTATATTTGAGACATCGCCCTATGAACTGTTGCTCGGTGAATTGAATAGTTTATAATGAACAATGTATACATACTTTAATAATTATAGTACCGCAAATTGCGATCTCAAGCATTCGAGAACTGTAAAACATAAAATCGTAATAAGAGTTCGAATAACCCTTAGAATATGTGTATAGATTTAACCGAACATTTATATAAAACCCCAGACGATCATTTCCTTAAATTATACGATAATAGCGATCGATCATTTGTAACATATTCATACAGACTCTCATCAAAATAGATAATCGGAAAATATGTGCAAAATAAAAAGTATAGATAAAATTTCTTCAAATAAAATGTATTAAGTATACGCGCGAAATACTCAGTTATATACGGAAGCAATGAGCACATATTTTTACAATGAAATGCACGTTTCTATTACGACGTTTCTTTCAGATTCAACTATTTCTTTGTTATGCATATTATACTCAAACGACTAAAACAATAACAATGCATTTAAAATTTTGAATGGATTGATGAAGAAAAATTACATTACACCTGTTTAATTTTGTAATAAATTCTAGATTTATGTAACAATAAGAAAATTATATTTGCGTCGCCTTTATTGTTAACGTATAACGTCCAATAAAAAATTCTGTTATATACAAAGCATTACACATTTTTAATTTTCCCTGCAGATAAAATAAAATTAGAAATATACAACAGAGAATCGCATAAAAAAAACATTATTTGATATTTCTTTTATATAGTCATAAAAATCAAATTATTATAGGTGTATAAATAAGTTCCCGTCAATCTTAGATAATGACAACAATGGCGTGTTTAAATTTCCTCATCTAATTATTTTTCCATTAATAAAGTTGACCAATCAACATTTCGTGTATAATAATTCACAGACAATTAACTGCATTTTTAGTTTAATTGCAAATAAACGCTGAAAAGGTGCTTATTTGCTATTGCATGTTTCTTTATTCACCTAAGCAACCAGAATAATTTCTGATATTAAATATAAAAACAATATTGTATTGAAATAGAACGTGTCAAGATTTATATTAACAGATATATCTTCAAAAAAAAACTGCAAAAATATTTATTTATACACCTAACAACTCTTATAAATATTTTTTAACAAAAATAAATTAATAAAATAATTTAACATACATTACATTTTTACGTCAATAACTTTGCGAACAATTATTATTCTATTCGTTTCAAAGCAATTCATAAATAAAATCCAATTTATAAAATTGTTTTTTTATTACTTATAAATTTTGTAATGATAACGTACTTATTCCATTAGTAGTCCGGTATTGAATGTAAAAGACAAACGAGATATCGCGAGAGGTACGCGTAGATTTTATCTTCATCCATTAAACCGACTGTGAGCGACGTTCACAGTTTCATATCCGAATCATCGTACTAAAAGGATGTTGCTGTCGTATATCGAGTTTTCCAGTGTCACAAAATTCTGACGTGTGGAAATTCTCACATCGATCGAAAACGTATTGCGTGTTATTTGTACATTTTCTCACAGAAACCCGAGGAGCGCAAAGCCGATATCGCAATACCGAAATCCCCCGATGTACAATGCATAAAGTTCAATTTAGTAGCTTATCTCGCGCGCGAAGTAAGATATATTCTCTTGCTTCTTCTGGAACGACGTGTGTTCTCCAACGAAAAGTGAGTATTGCAATATTCTCGTAATTTCCTTCCTCCTTGTTTTTGCAATGGAAAATTCCCAAGCGGGATTTGTATTGTTACAATTAAGCGTGCAATAAGCCATACTTCATGACGTACGTAATTTCCCTGTTTTGATACTAATTAACTCTCTGTGGAGCTATTTGCTAACCACATTGATATGATATCCATATACTTCCGTATGCTAAAGTATGCAATATAAATACTTTATGCGAATAATATTATTGTATATTTTGTATATGTTTGAATGCCACAAAATATATGATATACATGCAATTTACTTCTTACGTTTTCGAATAATAATTATTCATATTTAATGTAAATTTTATAATAAACAAAGAATATTGATTAATCCCGGAAATAAAAAAAATTTTTTTACTATATATTGGATACCTATTATGTATAGCCTAACATTTCATAAAACAAACCTATGTAACGTATCATTGTGCACCAAATAATCAGATAATCTGCGTGAGTTATGGAAGACTTTTTTTGTATCCGTCCCAGTCAGAAATGATAATGGAATTAACATCGAATCGATGTCGATTCGACGTCGAAAGCTTCAAATCGATATCGATCGACGTCAAATCGATGTCGATTCTATTATCATTTCTGACTGGGGTAGAATGCTGTCGAAAAGTAAACTTTATTTACAAGTGAGCGAGGTCATTGAATGCTAAGTTATGCCTTCAGTGGTTATTAGAAAATCCAATCTATCATAAAAGCTGAGACAAATGGAGTCAAGCTTTAAGCAATTCTGTTCGTTATCAGTTTAGACTTCCTGGTGATTAGTATTGTAAAAGAGTGTGATAAGTAATTTTAATTTTTAAACAGTTTTGTGTGCTATCATTTTTTGTTATTATATATTTTCTTTAAGTGTATGAGGAAATACACACAATTGAACTACATATTCTATATCATTTCAGGATTAAATTTGACAGTGTGTTTATTCTTTCTTTCTTTCTTTCTAAGTTAATAACACTGAATAACAAAAAAATTTTTTTGAGAAACCAGACTAGAATAGGTTCTTATACATTTTTGAATTACTAAATCCAAATTCGTAAATTTGCTACATCACATCCAGGTTTTTAGATAATCGACAAAAATGAAACAAAAAAATATGTAAAAATTGAAACATTTGAGAAAAGAGTAGAAATATGACATTAAAATGTGATCACAAAACTGATTTAAATATATTTTGGTACATTAAACAAAGTGAGAAGAAAAAAGAATTTTATTTTACTATTGTAATATCAGGTATTATGTAGTTTAACCCCGGATCTACAATAGGTGTTTTAAGCTTTAAGCTGTAAGAAATTGATCAATTACAGTCGAATCCGAGAAGAATAAGCGACTGTGATTCGCCCATTTCTTATGGCTTAAGGCTTAAAACCCTATTGTAAATCTGGACTAACACGTCATTAAACACATTGGTGTAAAACACCATTATGCAAATAGTCAGACAATCTACGTGAGTCGTTAAACATCTTTCAAGCTTCGTATTTGAAGATAGTAATCAACTGCAATTGTATCTAATTTTAAAAAGTCAAAAAAACGATGTTTTATTACAATCATATGAAATGACATTTTGTTCCAGAAATACAAATTCTTGATTTAAAACATGCAAATTGTAAATCCAATAACGTTTGTCCAAAGTACTTCAAATCTTGATAAGAGAATCGAAAATCGTGAATTTACTAAAAATCTCTCTCTCTTTCTTTTAAGTGATATATCGTAAAAATTAGAAAATTTTAAATATATAATAGCTTATTTCAGTCCGATATTCAGTATTAGAAAATACCGTGTCACATGAGTAAATGTTTATCTCGTTCGTATAATCTTATTAAATCCGACGGCTTTTGACATGATTAACATCGAATATTTGACTTAAGATTCTCAATTACTTGAACAGGAATCCAATAGCTTATAGCACATATTTTGTGTTGCAATGCAATACATTTTATATTTACAGTACACGTGTGAATTGCTCGAAACAATAACAACAAAATAAATAACGATATTATTGCACAGTTGTTTTAAATTCGTACAAAAATGTAGCTTCTAAATCTGATGTAGCTAAAAATCGTGATAAGAGACTAAGCACAGATCTTCTCAAATCTTTACGCTAATAATGTCATTTTATCTGTTCATCTATAGATAAGGTAAAGTCATGTGACATTAAATAAGTTCATCTATGCAACGGAAATATTATAAGAGATGCGCAGTTATATTTCATCCCCATTTCAATCAGCACCAATCCTTTCATCATTGCATTACTTTCAAATCAATTCACGGAATGTGAACAATTTTGTAACGTGAAATACGATTAAAAATCGCGTCGCGCTTATAAGATGGTTATACAAGATTTAATAAGAAAATTTTTAATAGTGTAATTAATATTGTAAAATTGATGTATACTACGCATTCCGGAATTAAATGTCTTTGCATTTATTGAAAAAATTATTTGAGAAAAGTGCAGGATTTAAATTTTTTTAACTTAAATAGATATACAACAAAGTTATACTTTATGGAACTTATTTTGCGAAAGAGTGAAAATAATAATGGAAGATAAAAGCCAAAGCGAGGTACTCACAATGAAAGAACCAACAAAAATAACAAAGCCTGGCGAATCAACCGACGTCGAACCATTAAAATTGAAAGTATATCAAAAGAGGTGGCTAATGCTGATTATCTACATAATTTATGCTGGAACGAATGGCTCTCAATGGATAGAATACTCGATTATAACCAACATAATTACTAGGTATCATATTTTCTTCAAAATATAAACAACTTTGAATGTAAAAGTATCAATACCCTTTTTTGTGTATTATTTAGGTACTATGGAGTGTCACCGATGATGGTTCACTGGACCTCGATGTCGTTCCTGGCACTTTACGCAACGTTTATATTTCCAGCGTCGTACGTGACAGACAAGTGCGGTCTGCGATGGACCATCATCATAGGCGCCGGTCTCACCTGTCTTGGTTCTTGGATAAAAACATTATCTATTCAACCCGATAGATTCTATCTTACTTTCATTGGTCATTCGATAGTTGCACTCGCGCAGGTTTTAACATCTCTCAATTTACTTCATTAATCTCTAAAAATCTTGAAACTTACAACATTTTCCCTGCTCTTTTTTATTATATTACTATTCTAAATTCTCTGCATTTATTTAGAGAGTAGAAATTACTTAATTTTATATTAGACTATGGTCCTGCCGTTACCAGGACGCTTGGCCGCACAATGGTTTCCCCCTAACCAACTCTCGACTGCCACATCTTTGGGTATTTTTGGCACTCAATTGGGAGTAGCGTTGGGTTTTCTTTTAGGACCTATTATAGTGAAAAATCACAAGAATCTAGATGACATTGGCAAAGATTTGACACATTTATGCTGGATAGTCGCAATCGTCTGTACAATTGCATTCGCTCTTGTGCTTACATGTAAGTTTAACATCTATTACTAATAGAAAGTAATGTTTGAACAAGTAGTAATTTGCTAGATAAGTGATTAATTCTCATCTAAAATGGAAGAGATCTGAGCTGATATGAAAAATGTTTTTGTAATTTCTTTATACTTTTCCAAACATAGGTAACCATTTGTTAACTTAATAAAATAATAAAAGATCGAAATTATATATTTGAATTACATATATTAATATAAAATTTACATTTTTGTGTGTACGTAATGTATTAACTTTTAGTAAATGAGGTTTGAATATGTCCTTTAGACAATCATTCATAATTAGTTAAGGGATAAACCGATGACCAAAATTGTGTACACCAATGCCTACAATGTCTAGTAATGCCCAAGTAATGTCCAAGTAATACCTAAATTTTATGCCCACTAATGTCCTAGTAATACTTACTAAAGCCCGTTAAAGCCCCAGTAAGGCCCATTAATGCTTTAGTAAAACATAATCATACCGCTTATTATAATACATAATTCTATTAAGTAATGCCCCAAATTTGTACACCGTAATGCGCTCCTTGGTATCCGTTAAATCGAAGTATTCTCTTATAAATATCAATTTAAAAAGTTATATATTGCTCAATATATATCTATCAAATTTTTAATATATTCCAATACAGCCGATAACCTACTTTAATTTCAGTCCATTTATCTGGATTTTTATTTTTATTTATCTTAAATAATTACACACAAGAAGAGAAGAGGAAGGAGAAAAATAAATTGCTAAATAATTAAAGATCGCTCACACCTCAGGAAAGATTATCGCATTTTAATCTTCTCAATATGCTTTCAGTATTTCAAAACGAACCTAAACTACCACCGAGTGAGACGCGGGCACTGCAAAAAATGAATCGAACGAAGAAAAGAGAAGAATTCATGGGGCCGATAAAAAGACTATGCAGAAACAAAAACTACATCATGCTCTGTAATTCCTACGGTTTGAACGTCGGCGTGTTAAATGCTGTGTCTACATTGCTGAATCAGATATTCCTCGCCCATTTTGAGGTGAGCAAATAAATCTCGATGCAGCAGATCAAACATAAAATGAGAGAAACTCGAACAAATATTTATAAATTTATGTGAGCAACATTTGAAAATATTTTCATATATGTTTGCAAATATATTTAAAGGGTAAGATATATGTACAATCGCGCATGTGTTTTAGAATGGAGAAGAAGATGCAGGCAGAATTGGCTTAGCCATAATTCTCACTGGTATGGCAGGTTCCGTTAGTTTTGGTATTATCCTTGATAAAACGCATAAATTCAAGTAAGAAAAACATTTGCAATTGTCATAAAAATCCAATTTAAATTTACTGTATCATAAATCATGCATTGGAAACATCAGCTAATAATTTAGATATATATTTTCAATTTTCAGACAAACTGCCGTGACTGTATATTTTCTTACATTTTGTGGTCAAATATTATTTGCGGTCTTTACTTGCATGGGTATAAAATGGATGGTATACGTGTCGGCGATTTTCTTAGGGTAAAATATCGACATTCAAATTTGTGCCCATATTAAAAATATAAATGTTTTAGAAATTATTACGTAATTACGTAAAACGACAGAAGTTGATTTTTTAACGATTTAGTAAACTGTAATTGTTCTCACTATTTTTATTAACATTTAAGGTTCATTTTTCAATGCACATCAATCAAATTGTAATATAAACCAATTGTAGAGTTTTATCATATTTATTTAGAATTTTATATATTTATTAAATTACCTTTTTATTACATTTTATTTGAGATATTTTAAACATTATCTGTCGACAATCTTAGGCGATATCTATTACATTCTATTATTCGTTACAGATACTTTATGTCAGGATATTTAGCAATGGGATATGATTTGTGTACTGAATATACGTATCCAGAGTCGGAACATATATCTGCGGGACTTCTCAATATAACAACCAGTATTTACGGCATTATACTCATTATATTATTAGAATCATTAATGAACACGTACGGCGACATTCCGGTGCATATTGGATTATGCTTGGCTTTGCTGCTCGGTTTTATTTTGACTGCTATAACAAAAGATGAGCAAAGACGACAAGACGCAAGGAAGAAGGCTCAGTACGAAAGAATCGCAAGAAATGAAGTGAACGTCAGTGGCATTCCAGAAATGAATCAACTTACTTATAGTATTAATTAATTGTCACAAATAATCTTATTAAATCTTTTAATACCATAATAGATTTCAAATCCAACATAATTTTATTCATGTTCTAATTTTTATCAATCTTTCACCTCCTAAATAATATACTACCTACAATAAAATGACTAAAAAATTTAATCTCACATCGAGTGCGCAAATGAAAATTACAAGTTGCTTTTTAAGAGAGCTGTATGCGAAATCCTTTTTATTTACAAAAGGAATTCTTGCCAATAATATGGCGCATACTTTAATATTTCCTCTTCTATAAAAAGGAAATAGATATCTCCAACAAAAGATTAACATTATAATATGGCAGAAAAGAGAATTTCATACCACATAATATCATTAACAAAATAATAAACGAGCATTTCATTGCATTGTATATCATTACATAATATACAAAGAATTTTTTTCTTAATATTTTCAATTGCTTGAACAGAAATGCAATAGCATATATTTTATATCGCAATGCATTTTATATTTATACTACACGTGTGAATTGTTCGAAACAACAAAAATAAAATAAATGACTGATATTATCGCACAGTTGTTTTAAAATCGTACAAAAATGTTGCTTCTGAATCTGATGAATATCGTGATAAGAGACTAACACAGATCCTTTTAAATCTTTAAGCTAATAATGTCATTTTATCTGTTCATGTATAGATAAGGTAAATTTGTCATGTGACATTAAACAAGTCTATCTGTGCAACGGAAATATTACAAGACGCGCAGTTACATTGCATCTTAATTTCAATTAGTATCAATTCTTTTATCATTGCGTCACTTTCATATCAATTCAAGAAATATGAAAAATTTTATAGCATGAAATACGATTCTAAATCGCGTCGCTTGCAAGATGGTTATTCAAGATTTAATAAGGAAATCTTTGATAGTGCAATTAAAATTATAAAATTGTATAATTTGATGTATACTACACATTCCGAAATTAAATATCTACACTTACTGAAAAAATAATTTGAGAAAAGTGCAGAATTTAAATTTTTTAACTTATAGATATACATCAAAGTTATATTTAACGGAATTTATTTTACAAAAGAGTGAAAATAATAATGGAAGATAAAAGCCAAAGCGAGGTACTCACAATAAAAGATTCAACAAAAATAACAAAGTCTGACGAATCAACCAACGTCGAACCATTAAAATTGAAAGTGTATAAAAAGAGGTGGCTAATGCTGATCATCTACATGATTTATAATGGAACGAATTCTTCTCAATGGATAGAATACTCGATTATAACCAACGTAGTCACTAAGTACTATATTTTCCTCAAAATAAGAACAATTTTGAATGTAAAAGTGTCAATGCTTATTATGTGTATTATTTAGGTATTATGGAGTGTCTTCGATGATGGTTGACTGGACCTCGATGTTGTTTTTGGCAATTTACGCGGTGTTCATCTTTCCAGCGTCGTACGTGACAGATAAGTGCGGTCTGCGATGGACTATCATCATAGGCGCCGGTCTTAACTGTCTTGGTTCCTGGATAAAAATATTGTCCGTTCAACCCGATAGGTTGTACGTTGTTTTCATTGGTCATTCGATAGTCGCACTTGCGCAGGTGACATCTCTTAAATTACTTGATTAATCTCTAAAAATCTTGATCTTGATATCATTACAACTTTTCTCTACCTCCTTCTTATGATTATGTTGTTACTCTATATTCTCTGTCATATTTATTTAGAAAGTAGTAATTAGTTCATTTTATATATTAGACTTTGGTGCTGCCGTTACCAGGACGCTTGGCCGCGCAATGGTTTCCTTCAACCCAACTTTCAACCGCCACGTCTTTGGGTATTTTTGGCAATCAAGTGGGAATAGCATTGGGTTTTCTTTTAGGGCCTGTAATAGTAAAAAATCATGACAATCTGGATGACATCGGCAAAGATTTGTCACGTTTATGCTGGATAGTTGCAATTATCGGCACAATTGTACTCGCTCTTGTGGTTACATGTAAGTTTAACATCTATTAGAGGAAAGTCACCGATACCGACATACCACTTTGTTTTTAGACAATATTTCTTAAACAAAAGTTAAAAATAAGACTTTAAAAACATAAGTAATAATTAAAAAGTGTTTTTTGTGAGATTGTATAAGCAGTTTTTTTAATACTGTTTGCAATTTTGCAATAATGAATTTTTTCGTAAGATAAGCAAAAATGAGCATTTGACAAAATGGGCTACAAAACCGACACAGTAGGCAGTAATACTACGTATTCCTATTCTTTTACTTTTATAGGAATTATCTGTATAAAATACCTACAATATTTTAGGAAATTACAAGAATTTAAAATGGCATAATATTATCAATAATATAGGCACTATTATTTAAACTACGCAATTTGCAAAAGAAAATTGTAAGAATTTTATTTTCGCATTCGTAGAATTCGTTTTTAGCTGATTTGATATAGAAACAAGCCACAAATACACGAATTATGAGTTTATATTTCTTTAATTAGCTAAACAGATTATGGTTTTATTAATATTAATAAAGTGCAATAGTTAATTTCTGAGAAATAAGGGAGTGTCACTTTAGAAGACTTATGTCAGTATCGGCGACTTTCCTCTACTAACAGAACAAATACTTTGCTAATATAAGTGATTAATTCTTATCTGAAATGGAAGAGAATCTGAGCTGATATAAAAAATATTTTTGCAATTTCTTTATACTTTTCCACAAATAGGTAATCATCTTTAACTTTAACTTAATAAAATAATAAAAAATCAAAATTATATATATGAATTATATATATTAATATAAAATTTACATTTTTGTGTGCGTAATGTGTTCACTTTTTGTAAATAATGATTGAACGTGTCTTTTAGACAATCATTCATAATCAGTAGCCGTTAACCCGAAGTATTCCCTTATAAATATCACACACACACACACACACAATTTAAAAATCTATCCTTTTTTCAATATATCTATCAACTTTTTAACGTAGACCAATATTCCAATACAGCCGATAATTTACATTAATCTCAGAACCTTTATCCGAGTTTTTATTTTTATTTATCTTAGGTATCCACACACAAGGAAAGGAGAAGAGGGGGGGAAGAAAAATAAACCGTTAAATAATTAAAGATAACTCACACCCCAGGAAAGATTATCATAATTTAATCGTCTCAATATGCTTTCATATTAGTATTTCAGAACGAACCTGAACTACCACCGAGTGAGACGCGGGCACTACAAAAAATGAATCGGACGGAGAAAAAAGAGGAATTCGTGGAGCCGATTAAAAGGCTTTGCAGAAATAAAAACTATATCATGCTCTGTAATTCCTATGGTTTGAATATCGGCGTGTTAAATGCTGTGTCTACATTGCTGAATCAAATATTTCTCGCACATTTTGAGGTGAGCAAATAAATCTCGATGTAGCAGATCAAACATAAAATGACAGAAATTCGAACAAATATTTATAAATTTATGTCAGCAACATCTGAAAATATTTTCATATATTTTTGCAAATATATCTAAAGAGCAAAATATATTTACGATCGTACATGAGTTTTAGAATGGAGAAGAAGATGCAGGCAGAATTGGCTTAGCCTTAACTCTCACCGGTATGGCCGGTTCTGTTAGTTTTGGTTTCATCCTTGATAAAACGCATAAATTCAAGTAAGAAAAACATTTGCAATTATCATAAAAATCTAAATTTATTTTATTTTATCATAAAATTTAAATTTATTTTATCATAAATCATGCATTGAAAACATCAGCTAATAATTTAGATATATTTTCAATTTTCAGACAAACTGCCGTGACTGTATATTTTCTTACATTTTGTGGTCAAATATTATTTGCGGTCTTTACTTGCATGGGTATAAAATGGATGGTATACGTGTCGGCGACTTTCTTAGGGTAACATATCGACATTCAAATTTGTGCCCATAAAAATATTAATGCTTCAAAAATGTATTACGACAATTACGAAAAACAATAGAAGTTTATTTTTTAACAATTTAGTAAATTGTAATTGTTGTTCTTACTGTTTTTATTAATGTTGAAGTTCTCTTTTCAATGCATATCAATCAAATTGTGATATAAAGTAATTGTAGAGTTTTATCATATTTATTTGTTTCTTTTCAATATATTCTATTTGATAATTATTTTAAATATTATCTGTCAAAAATCTTAGATAATATTTATTACATTTTATTATTCGTTACAGATACTTTATGTCAGGATATCTAGCTATGGGATATGATTTATGCACCGAATATACGTATCCAGAGTCGGAAAATATACCTGCGGGACTTCTCTACGTAACATCCAACATTTACGGCATTATACTCATTATATCGTTAGAATCATTAATGAACACGTACGGCGACATTCCGGTGCACATCGGATTATGCTTGGCTTTGTTCCTTGGTTTCATTTTGACCGCTATAACAAAAGACGAGCAGAGACGACAAGATGCGAGGAAGAAAGCTCAATACGAAGAAATCGCGAGAATTGAAAAGAACGATGACGTTCCAGAAACGAATCAACTTACTTATAGCATTACTTAATTGTCACAAATAATCTTATTAAATTTTTCAATACTAATCAATTTTTTGAAATCAATATGATCTTATTTATGTGCTAAGTTTTATTGATGTTTCATGTTCTAATAGTATATTACCTACAATAAAATGACAAAAAAAAAATTAATCTCGCATTACGTGAGCAGATGAAAATTACACGGTGCCTTTTAAGAAAACTGTATGTTAAATCTTTTTTTTTTTACAAAAGAAACTCTTGCCAACAAGTAATATGGCGCATACTTTGATATTGTCTTTTCTATAAAAAGGAAATAGATTTCTTCTACAAGATTATCTTTATAGTATGGCAAAAAAACGAATTTAACACAATATACTATCATTAACGAAATAATCAAGAGAATCTTGAGTGACATTTAAAATAAACACATGAAAATTCTCTTTTTTTATAAAATATTATTCATCATCAATTTTTTAGTCTTCGCTTTTATTTAATTGTTCTTATTATTTTGGTATAATATTTCGTTTCACGCATTGA